AGCTGCAAGAAGTTGTGTATATTTCAAAGGGTCAGAGAAAGAATTTGCAATTGCAAGTTTGTTCCCTCCCGTCCCCTCCCCTTCCTTCTTGACAGGGTTTCACCGAGGCTGGCGTGTGCTGCTGCAATCACAGCTCACTGCAGCCTCAAATTTTTTTTTTTTTTTTGAGACAGAGTTTCACTCTTGTTACCCAGGCTGGAGTGCAATGGCGCGATCTCGGCTCACCACAACCTCCGCCTCCCGGGTTCAGGCAATTCTCCTGCCCCAGCCTCCTGAGTCGCTGGGATTACAGGCACGCGCCACCATGCCCAGCTAATTTTTTGTATTTTTAGTAGAGACTGGGTTTCACCATGTTGACCAGGATAGTCTCGATCTCTTGACCTCGTGATCCACCCGCCTCGGCCTCCCACAGTGCTGGGATTACAGGCTTGAGCCACCGCGCCCGGCCTCAAATTTTTGACTCAGGTGATCCTCCCACCTCAGCCTCCTGGGTAGCTGAGACTACAGGCACACGCCATCATGGCCAGCTAATTTTTTAAAAAAAATATTATTTTTAATACAAACAAGGTCTTGCTATGTTGCCCAGGCTGGTCTCAAACTTCTGAGCTCAAGCAATCCTCCTTGCCTTGGCCTCCCAAAGTGCTGAGATGACCCACATGAGTCACTGTGCCTGGCTGCAATTCCAAGTTTCCTAAAGCGGTTGTGAGAAGAAAAGGGAGCTCAGGGGCCTATGGTTGGGAAGAAGCCTTCTAAAGTTTAGCCAGAATCGGGGGAATGGTAAGGTCATCTTGGTTATCTAAGTCAGTCCTTCATAAATACACCCCAAAATTCACTCTTCTGCTTGGGAAACGCTTTAAGCCCAGTGATACATAAACTTGAACATTTCAGGCTCCTGGATGGGTGCTTTCTTATGAATAGCCCGTTGAAATGATCTCATATATGTTTTCTGTCAATGCTTTCATACCAGAGTAGTTCAGCCGATGAATTCAACAAACATTTAGGAAGCATCTGGTCTGTACCAGTACCGTATTAGGTATGAACAAGGTGGCAACATCCCCTCAAAGAGACACCACAGCACTAAAGAGATGGGTGAATAAATGAACATTTTAAATATGATATGAATCCGGGTGCAGTGGCTCATGGCTGTAATCCCAGCACTTTGAGAGGCCATGGCAGGCGTGTCACCTGAGGTCAGGAATTCGAGACCAGCCTGGCCAACATGGCAAACCCCCATCTCTACTAATAATACAAAAATTAGCTGGGCGTGGTGGCACATGCCTACAATCTCAGCTACCCAGGAGGCTGAGGCAGGAGAATTGCTTGAACCTGGGAGGCAGAGATTGCAGTGAGCCGAGATGGTGCCACTGCACTCCAGCCTGGGTGACAGTGGGAGATTCCATCTAAAATAAATGAATAATAAATAAATATAATGTGAGAGTTCCTCAAAATAGTAAACAGAGTTACACATGACCCAAGAATTCTACTTGTAGATATCTACCCAGCAGAAATGAAAACATATGACCAGACACGGTGGCTCATGCCTGTAATCTCAGCAATTTGGGAGGTCGAGGCGGGCAGATCATAAGGTTAGGAGTTCAAGATCAGCCTCTCCAACATGGCAAAACCCCATCTCTACTAAAAATAAAAATTGAGCCAGGCATGGTGGCAGGCGTCTGTAACCCTAGCACTTGGAGGGGCCAACACAGGTGGATCATGAGGTCAGGAGTTCAAGACCAGGCTGGCCAACATAGTGAAACCCTGTCTCTACTAAAAATACAAAAAAATTAGTCAGGTGTGGTGGTGTGCACCTGTAATCCCAGCTACTTGGGAGGCTGAGGCAGGAGAATCACGTGAACCCGGGAGGCAGAGGTTGCAGTGAGCTGGGGAGGGTAAACAGTGCGAGACTCAGTCTCAAAAAAAAAAAATAAATAAAAGATGTAAGCAATAGAATCACTAGGGCCTGATGACTAAGGAGCTGGGCTGTGAGGGGTAAGGGGTGTGCATTTCTGATGGCGCCTGAGCTTCTAATTTGAATAGCTGGGGGATTAACGGTGAGCTCGTTCACAGGGATGAAGAAAACAGCAAAAAGAGAAATCGCAAAGGAGGTGTCTTTGGACAAATCCAGCATACAGCACTTGTGGGGCTAAATCAGGCGTTCTGACATCCAATCCAGCACTCTTCTTTTCTTCCCCCAGCCACTGGAACCATGCTTCTGCCTTGAGGTGAGGTGGCATGTTGTCCTTTGGGGTATAATGTCACGAGGAGGCCACTTCTGCAGCACATTGAGCCATGGTGGGCAGCCCGAGGACAGGGGCAGCTGAAGGTGGAAGTGTGTGGAGATGAATGCCCTGGTCTAGAAGGAGAGAAAGTTCCAAGGCCCTGACAGATCACGGAAACCAGCTCTGGGCAGAACACTCCTTGGAGCAGACACCTGTAGCCACTGGGAATCTCAGGTGGGCTGGGCACAGTGGTTCCAACCTGTAATCCCAGCACTTCGGGAGGCCAAGGCAGGGGGATTGTTTGAGGTCAGGCATCAGACTAGCCTGGACAACATAGTAAGTCCCTGTCCCTAGGATTTTTTTTTTTTTTGAGAGGGAGTCACACTCTGTAACCTAACCTGCAGTGCAGTGGCGCTATCTTGGCTCACTGCAACCTGTCTCCCAGGTTCAAGCAATTCTCCTGTCTCAGTCTCCTGAGTAGCTGGGATTACAGGTACCCACCACCACACTTAGCTAAATTTTGTATTTTTAGTAGAGATGGGTTTCACCATGTTGAACAGGCTGGTCTTGAACTCCTGACCTCAGGCGATCCACCTGCCTCAGGCTCCCAAACTGCTAGCATTACAGGTGTGAGGCACTGTGCCCAGCCTTTTTCTTTTCTTTTGAGCCAAACTCTCGCTCTGTCACCCAGGCTGGAGTGCAATGGCCTGATCTCAGCTCACTGCAACCTCCGCCTCCTGAGTTCAAGCAATTCTCCTGCCTCAGCCTCCCAAGTAGCTGGGGCTATAGGTGCATGCCACCACACCTGGCTGATTTTTGTATTTGTAGTAGAGACAGGGTTTTGTCACATTGACCAGGCTGGTCTACAACTCCTGGCCCCAGGTGATCCACTCACCTCGGCCTCCCAAAGTGCTGAGATTACAGGCATGAGCCACGCGCCCAGCTGAAAGTCTTTCTTTTCTTTAAATAGGCATGGGGGAGGCCTCGCTATGCCCAGGCTTGTCTCCAACTCCTCAAGTGATCCTCCTGCCTTAGCCTCCTAAAGTGCTGGGATTCCAGGCATGAGTCACTTTGCCTAGCCAATAGGAAAGTCTTATAAGAGGGGAGCTTAGCAAAATGTTAAACAGTGCCCAAAGGCTGAGAGCAAAGAGTTCACAATGATGGTGCCTAAGAACGGACAGCGTCAGGAACGCATCTCCAAAGGGACTATGCTCCGATGGCCACGTCGGTGTTAATGTCATTAGCGTTCCCATTTCTGGAAACGCATTTCCTCCCCTACATGGAATATGATGCCTGTTGTCCTAGAGATGCAGGATTAGCTGTGGAGCTTTTCAGATACCTGCCCTCCTCTTGCTCCACGGTAGAAGGTGATTGACTCTTGGTCTTGCTGTTTTATTTTTCAATTTTTAATTTTTATTTATTTATTTTTTAGATGGAGTCTCGCTCTGTCACCCATGCTGGAGTGCAGTGGCACGATCTTGGCTCACTGCAACCTCTGCCTCCCGGGTTCAAGTGCCTCAGCCTCCCGAGTATCTGGGATTACAGGTGCCTGCCACCACGCCTGGCTTTTTTTTTTTTTTTTTTTTTTTTTGTATTTTTAGTAGAGACAGGGTCTCACCACATTGGCCAGGCTGGTCTCAAACTCCTGACCTCAGGTGATTTGCCCACCTTGGCCTCCAATGTGCTGGGATTACAGGCATGAGCCACTGAGGGAAAGCGACTGACTCTTGCTCTTGCTGTCTTTAAGGGGCTCTTGGACCCGCCACCCCAGGGGTTTGTGTTCGGCTGGGCAGTGAGCATTTGCTGGGAGCAGTGCATCAGGTAAGTTGTTCTCTGGTCGCTGTTAGCATGGCCCAGATGTGTGTGTCACCCTGATGGGTACTCTGGTCATCATGGGCCCTCCTTGCTTGACATTTGGATCAAAACTCTCCCACTGATCCCCCTCTTTCTACTTGCCCCCACCCATGCTTCAGCCCTGAGGACGGGGCCCTCACATCCCTGGAGCAGGTGCCAGGAGCGCCTTGACACAGCCTTGGTCTCTGGAACCCTGACTGTCAGGATGAGCCTTCCCAGCAGCAGATCCCCAGACACGGACATTGGAAAGGCCACTCCAAGACCGCCCCAGCCAGGGCCCTAACTGCAAGCTCTGCTTCTGGAGGCATTTGCCAGGCGCCAAAAACATCTCCAGTGCTCCGTCCAGGAGCAGCCAATGGAGAGGGCAGCCCGGCCCCCTCCTACTCTCCCCCAGCGGCATCCAGCCTCCTGCCTCTCTCTTCCCTTCCTCCCTTCCTCCCTCTTGCCTGGGCCGCCTGCCTCAGAAGTGGGGACCCGGGAGGGTTGCAAGACGCCTGGTCTGCCCTGTGGGTCCTGGACGGAGCCCCCACTTCTACAAAGATGACTTGGAGACAGGTCTTCCTGCTGTCTGGCTTCTCCGCCCTGGTGCTCATGTCTAGTGAGTACGGGAGGGTCAAGGCGGAGGGTGTTAGTTACATGGCAGGGGAGATTTGCCTTGCACAGGTAAACCTGCTCAGGTGATGCAGGTAGAAAGGGGTGTGCCTATTGTTAAAGGGTGTGTGTGTGTGTGTGTGTGTGTGTGTGTGTGTGTGTAAAACACAATATAATACAGGGAAAAAAAAACAGTAAAGAAAGAAACAAAACTGAAAAAAACCCCAAGCCAGCCTGCTTGGTGGGTTCCTGGGGAGATTGGCTCGGCAGCTGGTATGTGAGAAACCGAGGCCCCATGCCAGGGCCTGGTGGGACCCTCAGCCTGGAAAGCAGGAAGGGGGCTCAGCTCAGGGTCTGGGCTCCCCTCTGACGCTGCAGCTCACTCTGTGCCCTTGTCCTGCAGTGCTGCGAGAGGGAACCACGCAGGCGGCGGGAGAAGAGGCCAGTGAGGGTGAGTGCAGGGCCCACCCCCGGGGCGGGGCAGGCCCGGTGAAGCAGCAGCCCTGGCATCCCCACACCGCTGGTGACAGGCCTCTCCTGGGTTTCAGATGCAAAACAGAAGATTTTCATGCAGGAATCAGATGCCTCGAATTTCCTCAAGAGGCGTGGCAAGCGGTCCCCCAAGTCCCAAGATGAGGTCAATGGTAAGGATGCTGGAGGGACCCCACCCTCACCCCTGCTCCTCCTTTCCCACACTCGGCAGGGCGGCGGGATGCAGCTGGCATCCGCACCGAGGGCTCACCCAGGCCCCTGGGTACCAAAGGGACTGCAGCTCAGAATGAGAAATGACAGCCTATTTCCTGCCTGTAGGTCGTATACTGGATTGTATACTTTGTCAGGGTAAGGAGGGCCCACCTCTGCAAAGATGACATGGAGACAGGGCCTCCTGTCCTGCTTCTTGGCCATGATGCCACATTAAATGCACCTACCAGGGATAAGATGCATTCAACCTCAGAAAGGCGTAGGGTGGCCGGGCGCGGTGGCTCACGCCTGTAATCCCAGCACTTTGGGTGGCCGAGGTAGGTGGATCACGAGGTCAAGAGATTGAGACCATCCTGGTCAACATAGTGAAACCCTGTCTCTACTAAAAATACAAAAAATCAGCTGGGCATGGTGGCGCGTGCCTGTAATCCCAGCTACTCAGGAGGCTGAGGCAGGAGAATTGCCTGAACC